TGGGGGTGGGGGGAATGCACTATATGGGAATGTAAAAGCGGGAACATAATGGAAAACCTTGTGTTTAAAGTTGCCCATAGTTTTGCCCTCGTCCTGGTTGACCTCAGTGGAGTTGAGCTCCAGCAGCTGCTGTGGACTCCTGCGCTTGGCGTGACCTGTGTGAGACAGTGGCTTGTGACTCTTGGGAGGACTGGGCCAGGTAGCATCCTCTTCTTGCTGCTTTGTGGTCAGGGGTCAGGAGTCATGGGAGGAACCTGGCCGGTAACAAACCCTTGGTGGCAAGGTGAGGCTGCGGTGGGTCACGGAGGGGCGGGGGCTACGGCTTTGTGCTTGCAGGCTTGTCTGTGGTGCTCCTGGCTTCCTCTGCCTGCCGATGAGGTCTGGGTTGTGCTCTGTGTGGGCTGTGGGCTGAGAGCCAGAAGCCAGGGGGCTGATGAGGCAAGCCTTGCTCCCTGGCGTGCAGGTGAGAGCCCAGGAGGCCGTAGATGCAGTGTGCGCTTTGGAAAAGAGATAAAGAGCTCGTCCCCCGCACTCTGATGGCTGCTGCCTTCCAAAGAGGGAGAGGGGAGGGAGCGCGGGACGCGAACTAGGTCACTTCTAGTTCCTTCCCAGGTAACTTTTTGGCCCATTCACAGACAGCTGCTTTTTCCGTGTGAAGTGTGAAGTGAGAGTTTATGTTGCGGCTGTGGGAAGTTGAACCGTGCAGATCCTCAGGGTATGGAGTGAGTGCGTGTGGCCACTGGCTCTCTTGTCCTATGCTCGGGGTAATGACCTCACTGCAGAGATGTGACGCTCTCTGCAAGTGTTCAGAGGCACAGATTGAAGCCGGAGCAAGCGCTCCCACCTTCCGGCTCCCTCCCCGTCATGCCCGCGGTCGCTGGGCCTGCAGTCAGCTCTCACCCATGGGAGTCAGGAACCCAGCTGGCTGGCTGCTGCCTTCCAGGGTTTGGGGGGAGGCAGGCGGTCTGGTGTGGCATGGAGCATCGTCGGTGCTGGACCGAACCCCTGCTTCCAGGTCCTTGCACCTGATGTTTCCCGTGCATCCTGCATAGGGTAAACGGTGACAGCGGGCACTCTGCTTGCTCGCTGTCGGCTCCCCAGAGCCCAGGACAAGGTTGTGTAGACATTAGCGGCTCTGAAATATTGATTGATTGATTGGGACTATCATGATACTACTTCTCTACCTTAGATGCTTTTGGAAGTAACTGATTGTTTTAGATTATAAATTGCAGGAACCCAAATCAGTGCAGTTGATCATTATTATTTTTTAAAGCAGGCATAAAGCAGCCCTGTCATTTTGCTTGGCAGAAAGCCTAGAATGAAGGTATATTTCTGGGTCATTGGGTGGTGACTCAGCAGGGTGGGCTCTGCTGTGTCTCTAGGGTGAGCCAGCCTGAGGGTGGCTGTCTCCTCATGGTCAGAAGTGGCTGTCGCTGTAGTGAGTTCAGATCCACTCTAGGGAAGAGACCTGAATTTGTCTAGGACTGAGAGCTTAAATATGTGTGAATGAAGTATTGTGTCCTTGGTGAGAACAGAGCATGAATTAGGGAAAGTTGCAAGTACAGATTGAGGGGGGAGGGTCGTCTCTGGCTGTGGCTTAGCTCATTAAGCTGCTGCCTGCAGTTCTGGCATCCCATATGGGTGTTGCTGGTTTGAGTCCTGGCTGCTCCACTTCTGATCCAGCTCTGTGCTAATGGCCTGGGAACACAGAGGACAATGACCGAAGTCCTAGGGCCCCTGCCACCCACGTGGCCAAAAGAAGATGCTAGCTGCTGGCTTTGTTCTGGCCTGGCAGTGGCTGCTGTGGCCATTTAGAGAGTGAATCAGTAAATGGTACCTCCCTCTGCCCCCATTTTCTCTGTCATTCTGCCTTTCAAAGAAGTAGATTTTTTAAAAGTACGATTTTAGACCTCTGCGAATAAAAGCTGATAAGCGGAAGTCTTTTCTGAAATGTTTGGCAAAAGATGAGAATAAAGCCACCCTTAGGCTTGGGTCAGGAGTTACGGGAGGGAACTTATGAACTCTTTGGAGGTGCTCATTCCAGCTTGATCCACTCAGCTGATTTCCAAGCCACCCTAGTGCCTTAAGGAACCACCTGGGACGGGTGTTTGGTGTAGTGGTTAAGATGTGGCTGTATCGTCTGCTGCCCGAATCAGGGTGTCTGGGTTCAAGTCTGTTCCTGCTTCTCATTCTTGTTTTCTGCTTAGGCACGCCCTGGAGGCAGCAGACAGTGGCTTTAAGTACACAGGTCCCTGCCCTCACACGGGACCTGGGCTCACCTCCTGACCCTTGCCTGACCCCTCCCCGTCCCCTCACCTTCGTTGCAGGCATTTGGAGACTAAATCAGTGAATAGAAAACCTCTGTTTGTTCCCCTTTCTGCCTTTCAAATAAAAATAGTTTCTGAAGTACCTAAAAATATTAAGTAGAGAGTGGGTATTTGCCTTAATGGTTAAGGTGCGCACATCATGTATTAGAATACGTTCTTTTTAAGATTTATTTTGTTTGAACAGCAGACTTACAGAGAGAAAGAGTGACAAAGAGGAAGGTCTTCCATCTGCTGATACACTCCCCAAGTGACTGCAACAGCTGGAGCTGAGCTGATCTGAAGCCAGGAGCCTCTTCTGGGTCTCCCACAGGGAGCAGGGTCCCAAGGCTTTGGGCCTTCCTCTGCTGCTTTCCCAGGCCAGAAGCAGGGAGCTGGCTGGGAAGTGGAGCAGCCAGGATATGAACCTGTGCCCATATGGATGCCAGTGCTTGGAGGTGGAGAATTAGCCAGTTGAGCCAGTGCACCAGCCTCAGCATACCTGGGATGGATACGTGGTTTTGCTTCATGACTCCAGGTTCCTGCTGATCCCAGTCCTGGGAGGCAGCAGTGATGGCTCAGGTTGTTGAGTCTCTGCCACCACATGGGAACGTGCATTGAGTTCTTAGCTCCCAGCTTTGATCTGGCCCAGCCCCAGCTGTCGTTTTTGCAAATGAATTTGGAAATAAATCAATGGATAGGAGCTTTGTCTGCCTCTCACATAAATGAAAAGACAAGAAAAACTGAAGTCGAAAACCGAAGTGACCCATAGCTTTACTTTCCTAATGATAACTACTTATTTCGGAACATGAAATGAAAGCAGAACATACGAATTGTTCAAAGCAAGTTCAGACGATATGGGAAGCAGTGCAGGGCGGGTCATCTGCATGGACGGTGGATCGTCCACGTGGACGGTGGCTCTCCATTCCTCTGCCCTGAGACGGGCTGTGAGTGCTGCGGGAGACAGGTGCGTGGAGTGTGTATCTCTTCTGTTTCCTGATGAGCAGCCCCCAGCGTGGGGCATGGTGAGCCCCTGGATTTGTGCCTGTGCTGGGGGGCCTCTGCATGGACATCAGGGTGGTGAGCCCCCCAGTGCTGCTGAGGGTGCTGGGGCAAGCGGCCGGGCCTTCAGCATTTTGGTCGGATTTGTTAGGTTTCCCTTCCCACAAGGCGGCCGCCGTCCTCATTCTGGTCATGGCATTTTTTTCCCTGCTGGGTGTGGAGGAGTGACTTTTCTGGTGCCCGTTTGCAGGTAAAATTGCCTTTAATGTTGTGCATTGAGGTGAGAGGAATTGGCCATCCTTACAATTGTTTTTTTTTTCTTTTTGTGAAATTAGCAAAAGGTTGCCTTTTCTTTGCATGTAACTGAAGGAAATCAGCTGCCATATTGCTTATTTAAAAAGTTTTTTTTTTTTTTCCAATTTGTCATTGGTCTTTCTGACTAAATTTTTTCCTCAAACAGGCAGTTTTTATTTATTTTCTTTTAAGTGTTTACTGTTTTAGAGGAAGAGAGAGCTCCTGACTGTCGGTTCATTTCGTTAACGTCCACAGTGGCCCTGTATTTGTTCTTCATGACTTCAACTCATATCTTTGTGAGAAGCAGCATGCACAGGTGAAGCTTGACTTCGGCTTCCTCAATTAAAAAAAATCTTTACCTATTTTCACTCTTCACTTGAAAGGTAGAGAGAAACCGAAGGGCAGGCTGATGCTTCATCCACCGACTCGCTCTCACGTGCTGCCGCAGCCAGGGCTGGGCCAGCTCAAAGCAGGAGCCCAGAACGGAGTTGAATTTCCCATGTGGATCTGGGGTACCAAGTGCTTAAGGCATCGTCGGCTTCCCAGGAGCACACTAGTAGGAAGCTGGGATTGGGAAGGATCGGGGACTTGAAGCCAGGCGTCTTAACCACCAGCCAAATGCCTGCCTCTATCTACTTAGGAAAAAAAAAATATTAGGGAGTGAGAGATAGTACCCAAATGGGCTGATTTCCTAAATGCCTGCGAGGGCTTGGGCTGCGCTAGCCTGAAGCCAGGAGCAAGGAGGTTAGTTCTGGATTCCCTGAGCTGAAAACTCAGTTGCTTGAGCAGTGCGGGTCCCTCCCAGGCTGCACATTAGCAAGCGGCTGGAGCCTGCAGCCAGAGCTGGGCACAGAACCCGACACTGATGTGGGATGTGATGCTGGTAACTGTTAAGACCACATGCCTGCCTCTCTGGCCTTTTTTTTTTTTTTTTCTTTGAAGTAGAGTTAGGTTTGAGATTGTTTTTCTTGACTGCTTCTGGTTTTCTGAACTGACCTGCTGTTTTGTGGACTGACATCAGCGTGGCATACCTGGCTGGGCCACGTCCGACATACTGGGCGTGCTGAGCATAAAGCAGAGGCAGTGGGCTCCTTAGGACGTGGGCCTATTACGAGAAGACCCAGTATTCTTGACAGAGCTGTGTGTCGGCATCCCTGCGGCTGTTTCTGGACTCTTAAACTTGGCCAGGGTTGCAGGGTCGTGAGGCTCAGGGCCAGAGTGTGGAAGAAAGGTCACGATGGGGTCATGTGGACCATCCTGCAGAGGCCTGTGGAGAATGGCAGTTTACCAGCAGGTACAATGGCCTCCGGCCGTGCCTCAGCCGACCCTGAGGCGGAGATGACTGTGCTGGATGTTGTCTTTTGGGTATCATTTTGAACCTGCCGCTTTTTTCCCTTGCAGGTGAAGAGATGGCGTTTGTGAAGAGCGGATGGCTACTGCGACAGAGTGAGTACAGGCACTGAGTCCGTGGTCCATGTTAAGTGTTGCTCTGGGACAGGTCCTCCTTTGTGCTGTGGAGACGATCTTATTAGTGTTGTCATGGGGCTTCTCTTGTGGCTGTTTTTAGAATTCTGTGAACTGTCTGTGCAGCGGGAACTCTTCGTTAGTTGCTGAAGCGACAGTCATCAGGAAGCAATGGGCCTGCCGTGTTAGTCAGAGGAGCCTCAGGCCCCGACCGTGCCTGTGCTGTGCAGCCTGGCATTTGGTCCCCGTGGGTGTGGGAAGTGCCTGTGTCATCTGGGGCTGAGCGATGACTCAGTTTCTGCAATTGTGGAGTCTGTGTGTGTAATCATGTGGATGGAGCCATGACCCCAGGGCATGAGACTGTAAAGCCCAAACTTTTGAATCTCCAAAGAAACTCCATTCTTCAGTTGTGGGGTTGAGTTCTTCTTTGCTAGACTTCTCTGTAGGTCTTTTGTGTGTACCATTTACTTGTTTCTGAGGCTTCTGTCACTCCTGTGTGTGTGTGTTTTATTTGAAAGGCAGAGTTTTATCTATCTATACATATATATATATATACACACACTCACACACACATATATATACATACATATATGAGAGAGATATCTTCTCGTAACTCTGAGATATCTCAGATATCTGAGTTTTAAATATATGCGATATATTTTCCATTTGCTGATTTATTCCCAAAATGCTTCAGCAGCCAGAGGTGAACTGATCTGAGACAGCAGCCAAGAACAGCTTCTGGATCTTGCATGTGGGAGCAGGGGCTCAAGGACCTAGGTCGTCCTCTACTGCCTTCCCAGGCTGTTAGCAGGCAGCTGGATCAGAAGTGGAGCCACTGGGTCTCAAATCACCCCATATGGGCTGCTGGCACCTCAGGCGGTGGCTGAGCTGGCTCCATTGTGGCGCCAGCCCTGGCTAGTGTGTCTTAAAGCTGGAAGAACCAGTTCTGTTCACTGTAGTCCCCCCTCATCAGTGGCTTTGCTCACCGTGATTTCAGTTAGTCTTGGTCAACTGTGGTTCAGGGTATTAAAGGGCAAATTCCAGGAGTTAATTCCTGAGTTTTAAATAACGTGAATTATAGCAAGCTGCTCTGTTGAGGTGTTAGTTGTAGCCAGTCTCGTACTGTGTCTAATATCTCTAAACGCAAGTGTCCTAAGGGATGTGCGTGTGGTACAGTGCAGGGACAGAGCGTCCTTGGTTTGACCTTATCTGCAGTTGCAGGGATCTGTAGGGGACTGTGGCATCTTTCCCCTACAGATAAGAGAGAGTATAGTTGAAAGAGTGACAGATTGTCCTGACCTCTGGAAAGAGCAGAGTTACGGGAAAGTGACTGCTGTGTCACTTAGGACTCGAGCAAAAGGCAAGCTGTAGTGCACTGTGTTGGTTGTTCAGGAGTACGAGTTGGGATGTTGGGGGGCCGCCTTCAGAACTTGACCGAAGTTGAGGCCAGCAGTGAATAATCAGCTGGCGACCCTAGGTAAACTGTATGCGAACTGCTGGCTGTGGAGCTTGATTGTGTGCCTTTTGCGAAGCTTTTCTGTGTGTGTTCTCTTCTTTGCTCCTCAGTAGCTCCCTGAGGTAGGTGGTCTCATTTCCAGTTGAAGAAATGAGAGTTCCACAAGAGTAGGTGACTGAAGTGTAGACAGTAGTTGGAAGAGGTGCATCCAGCCGGGGCTGAGTCCAGTGTTGCTGTTGCTTCTCCTTGGGACCGGGCCTTCGTCCTGCCTGTGACCTCAGTTCCAGACCAGGAGCTGAACGGTGTGTTTGGCCAAAGTGTGTGGTGGTCCTGTGCTATTTTTAAAAAATATTTGTTTATTGTTATTGGAAAGGCAGATTTACAGAGAGGAGAGACAGAGAAAGAGCTTCCATTTATTGGTTCATTTCTCATGTGGCTGAAACAGTCAGAGCTAATTGGTCCAAAGCCAGGAGCCAGGAGCTTCTTCTGGGTCTCCCACACGGGTGCAGGGTCCCAGGGCTTTGGGCCATCCTTGACTGCTTTCCCAGGCTACAAACAGGGAGCTGGATGGGAAGTGGAGCACCGGGCATGAACCTAGCACTTGTAAGGCAAGGATTTAGCCACTAGGCCATTGCTCCGGGCCTAGTCCTATTCTGTTAAAATAGAGCTGTGTTAGTATTGTGTCTCATAGACAGGGCTGGCATCGTAGAGTTGAGCCCCAGTCTTTGGTTCCCTGCTCTAGAGTTTGGTGGGCACGATCTCCCCATGGTCAGGGGCTGTGGGAAGCCTTGCACGGACCCTGAAGACGTGCCCTTTGCTGGTCTTCTGGCATGTGCCTTTGACTGCACTATGCATTTGATTGAAGACAGGCTTTCCTCGGTCTACCACAGCTCATTGTTCTGCCAGGGTGACCTTTTGACTGATTCCTCATCAGTGCCGACATGGTGATGTACACACCACGGATGTCTTTAAGTTGCACAGTCGTCTTCACTATTGCACAAGTGCATGTTCAGAAGACTGACATTGAATCCCAGTAAAATGAAATGAGCTGAAATGTGTTACATTCACCAGGTTGCAGAGATGCACCTGTGGTTAAACATGGATAGAGCAGTCCCCAGGGCTTTTCCTGTCATTGTCACAAAGAACGCTGGGGCCTGGTGTTTAGTTTGTAGGGAGCTTTGGTGACACGTAGGAGATTTGGGCAGAGTTCCGTGAGCCAGTGATCCCACCTGTGTGCTTGTGTAGCCTTCAGTTGGTGGTTTGTCCACGGCTCAGGCACTTGCAGTCAGTTGGATGTGGGTTTGCGTACTGATCAGTTTGGGCAAGCGCTGTGAGTCCTGTTGGCCCTGATGCTTGAACACTGAAGGAATTACTTGAACACTTTTGGGGAGACTGGATGCTCCACTTCTGATTAGCACTAATGGCAGGCAGGGGAGCATACGCAGAGGTCTGTGGAGTGGAGCTTGTGCATGTTGGTCCAAGGCGGGGCAAGAGGCACGGGAACAGAATGTGCACGGGTAGTGTGTGGCAGTGAAAGGGGTGCCGGAGTGACTCCAGCCTGGCCTCGTGCTGTCATGTGAGGAAATCACAGCTTTATCAAGCCACTTATCTGCTCCAGGCTCACAAATGAAAGCTGAATTCTTTCCAGCTGACACAGTGTGTGAGGTGATAGGATGGACATGGTGGGAGGCAGGCCTGGACCTGCGCCTGCGTCCAGGGTCCTGCTGGGCTTGCTTCATCCGGTGGCCCAGCCCTTCTGTCTGGGCTCCTCCTCCCATACTGTGGGCTTCCTGTGAGGGCAGGTGTTACGGAAGAGTGAATGTGTGTGTTCCTAAGGAAGGACAAAGAAAAAATGCTTGCTCAGAAGAGCAAGGTGCTGTGTGTGTTTGAATTATCAACTTTACAGTTCAGCATTTCTCGATCAGTCTAGCAAGTCTAGATATTACCAGGAAAGCTGAAAAAAGATTAAAGTTCTATTTAGTTCTGTGTGGAGAAGTAAATGGCAGGCAGGTTTTGTTTAAACACAAGCATTTTTTTTTTTTTTTTAATCTAACTGAGGTTTTTAAGTTTTGGGAGGCAGACTCTGGTTGACAGCCCTGTCTGTGTGTGCCGCGTGCGCTGCTGCAGGCTTGGACCGTGGCTGCTTGGGTCGTGTTCTGCCATCACTGTGTTTTGGTGGTCTGCTGCTTTTCCGTGCAGTGGTTCTCAGAGCGCTAAGGGGAAGGTGAGCTTGGTTTCTGCTGTGAGTTAGCATACACTGTGCTTGTTCTTTTAGCTTCAAGCCAATGTCTTTCCCCCTTTTTTTCAGGTACTATTTTAAAGCGTTGGAAGAAGAATTGGTTTGACCTGTGGTCAGATGGTCACCTGATTTATTATGATGACCAGACCCGGCAGAGTGTGGAGGATAAGGTCCACATGCCGGTGGACTGCATCAACATCCGTACAGGGCACGAGTGTCGGGGTAAGCGGGCCTGCCCTGGCCAGTCTTTGCAGCAGCTGAGCCTCATTGACAGATGGTGACCAGCTCCATGGTAACCATAGTGCCCTTTGTGAGCACTTTGATCATGAACCACATAGCTGGGGTCAGTCGGTTTTCTCATTTGCCAGCCCATGCTTTTGGAGGAGCAAAGTGCTGGTAAATGCTAATGACAGTGCCACCATGGACCACGATGATTTTATGACTTAGAAACTGGCATCTGTTTAATGCTGGTTCTAGTTAATTTTTTGTTTTGAAGATTTATTTTAATTTATGGATTTGATAGACAGAATGGCAGAGTGAGAGAAAGAGCTCTTCATCCACTGCTTCATTCTCCAGATGGCTGCCGCAGCCAGGGCTGGACCAGGCCAAAGCAGGAGCCAAGAACTGCGTGTTGGTCTTCATGGTGGCAGTGATACACCTGCCGGGGCTTTCTGCTGCTGCCCTCCAAGGCTTACTAACAAGGTGCTGGGTTGAAAGTGGAGCAGGCAGGTCTTGACCCAGCACACCAGTGTGGGATACTGGCTGTTCAGATGGGCAGCTTCACTTGGGCCAGGATGTCAGCCTTTCCAGTTAGTTTGTTAAATCTCTTGATGTAGTTTCCTGAATTACTCATTGTATTCACAGTTGAGAAGAGTAGGTTTTGCAGAAGTCTCCTGAGCCACCCATCTTACTGGTCAGCCTGGTCCTTTGCTTCACTGTCTTCCTATGTATGTCTTTTTTTTTGAAAGGCAGAAATGATAGAGATAGAAGCAAAGTTCTGTTTAGTGACTCACTCCCCAAATGCCCACAACAGCCCAGGCTGGGCCTCACCAAATCCAGGAGCCTCATTCAACCTGGGTCTCCCCCGTGTGGGGCAGGGGCCCAAGTGCTGGAGCCCTCCTGTGTTGCATCCCAGGGCACACAGAGGCAGAAAGCTGGACTCAGAGGAGTAACGGACTGGCAGCCAGGCAGTCTCGTGGGGGACGTGCGTATCCCAAAGCAGTGTTTAAATTATTGCACTGAATGCCCACACACCCTGGATTATGTCTGTGGGAGCACTTGGGTTATCATCTTGCCCTTTGCTTAGCTGAATAAATATATTCCTTTGTTCTGCCTGCTTTCCGTAGATATCCAGCCTCCGGACGGGAAGGCCAAGGACTGCCTGCTGCAGATCGTCTGCCGAGATGGGAAGACTGTTAGTCTTTGTGCAGAAAGCACAGATGATTGTTTGTAAGTTTTGGTTTCGCACGTGTTTACCTTAGAAGGATTTTGTTTTAATTTCCAATTAATAGGAAGTGGAGTTTTTTAAGACAGCAGGGAAGGGACTTGGCAGGTGTGTGAGGGACGGGACAGGTGTTCCCAGGCTGCGTCTCTCTCGCCAGGACCTCTGGGCTGGCTCGCGGGGTCGTGAAAGAGGCAGAAGGTACTGGCGGTCGCTCTGCTCTCAGTTCTTGCTTTAGGGATGTCATTGAATAGTTTTCTCAGTTTTGTTCTTTGGATGTACGGGTGTGTTTTTGAAAAACAAGGCGTCTGTACTGTGGGGCAGTTTTCCTTTTTCCGCCTCTGGAGGCGGAGTGGAAGCAGCAGGAGGCCCCAGCCTCACTTACCCTCCGCCTCTCCACGTGGGTGTTGGGTCCCAATCTCAAAGACCCTGACTGAGGAAATTTGGGGCGTGGGCGTGAGCTGTTCCTGTCCACCTTGTCCCACGGTGGGCTGGCTCTGAACTTGGTGTCACATTCTCTTGTACGCGTGCTGTTTGCACAGCAGTGGCCTCCCCTGCGTTCACATTGGCTTTCATCCCCAGTGACATTTTTATTCTTTGTCAGGTTCTAGGCCTTATTTAAAATCCGCAATGTAGCATCCTTTTTGTACTCTAATAATCTATATCATTGAATCTCAAATGGCAAATTCTAGAAGACATGTGGCTTTCTTAGACAGTGCTTGAGAAATGGCCACATGTCAAACTAATTTGCTGCTTTTATCAGCTGACACTGTGTTAGTATGATTTAAACTTTTTTTTAAAAGATTATTTAATTTTTTTGTTGGAAAGGCAGATATATAGAGAGGAGGAGAGACAAAAGATCTGCCTTTCGATGATTCACTCCCTAAGTGGCTGCAACAGCTGGTGCTGAGCCAATCCAAAGCCAGGAGCCAGGAGCTTCTTCCGGGTCTCCCACACTAGTACAGTGTCCCAAGGCTTTGCACCGTTCTCAACTGCTTTCCCAGGCCACAAGCAGGGAGCTGGATGGGAAGCAGGGCCACCAGGACATGAAGCGGAGTCCATATGGGGTCCTGGTGTGTGCAAAGCGAGGACTTTAGCCGCTAGGCTACCGCATTGGGTCTTGATTGAATCTTTTAATGTGCTATTTAGTGATGCAGCACTATGTAATAGTTTTTAAAGAAGATTGATGTATTTATTTGAAAGGCAGTTACAAAAAGGCAGAGGTGGAGAAAGTAAACTTACCTTTCAGTTTCATTTCCCATGAGCTTTGTGAAATATCCTCAGATATTTACACCTGTACTGCAGAACCAGGCTGGGTAACCAGTGAAACAGCAGGCACCTCTTGGTGCTACGGCGGCCTGCTATCAGCAGTCGGCATATCAGCAAGGTTGTGCTCTGAACTAGTCTCTTCCTGGATTCCAGGGGGCACCGGCATCCTGGATGTTCTTGGCTACCGCTGTGGGCTCCAGTCTGGGTCTCGGTTGCCACCTGTTGTTTCCTCATGTCTGTCCAAAGTTCCCTCCTGTAAAAATAGACATTAGATACGCTGGCTGGAGGGCCCAAGACCATGGTCCATCCTCTGCTGCCTTCACAGGCTGCAAGCAGGGAGCTGAATCAGAAGTGGAACATCAGGGACATGAACCAGTGCCTTTACGGGATCTCAGTGACTGCAGGGGAGGATTAGCCAATAGAGCCATTGTGTCGGACTCTGATTTTCTCTGAATTCATTCCATCTGCAGAGGCTCTTATTTCCTTAAACACACACACACACACACACACACACACACACACACACACACACACACACACACACATTCATGGGTGCTGGGGATTAAGGGATCAGCATATCTTTTATGGGGGCATAGTTTAGCATATAACAGAGACCTCTAGGTAAGGATGGTGAATTACCCCATGTTGTCTTCCCCCGGCTAGCTAGTGAGATGGAGGGGAAATGTGTCCACAGCAGTGGCCGAACAGTGAAGCTTGACTTCAGGCACAAACTGGGAACAAACTGCCACACAGCGAGATGGACAATTCTTGATGCCTGTCAGAGTCTGGACCCCACCCCACGTCCTCCTGGTAGTGACAAGATGAATTCATGAGGCTGTGCGGGTTTTCAGGAGCACTCTCCAGGGTGGCTGAGTAAGAGTAAGGGGCTTTTGGAAAGCTAAGGAGAAGCCCTTGAGACGGTGGTGCTCTTGGATCTCTGCAGGGCCTGGAACGTTTTCTCAGGGCTTGCTGTGCCAAGGCAGCGGAGGGCATGAAGTTCACAGGGGTTGGATGATTCTCTGGTAAAGCCCTAGCATGAGGCTGTGGAGGCTGTGCTTAGAAGAGCATCTTCCCACCCAAGCCAGTGCTGTCAGGTGACATAACAGTTGTGGGGTGGGATGCATTGTGGTCTGAATATATGCTTTTTTTTTTTTTTTAAGATTTATTTTATTTTTATTGGAAAGGCGGATATACAGAGAGGAGAGACAGAGAGGAAGGTCTTCCGTCTGATGATTCACTCCCCAAGTGAGCGCAACGGGCCGATACTATGCCGGTCCGAAGCCAGGAGCCTCTTCTGGGTCTCCCACACGGGTGCAGGGTCCCAAGGCTTTGGGCCGTCCTCGACTGCTTTCCCGGGCCACAGGCAGGGAGCTGGATGGGAAGCAGGGCTGCCGGGATTAGAACCGGCGCCCATATGGGATCCCGGGCGTGCAAGGCGAGGACCTTAACCACTTGCGCCACCGCGCCGGGCCCTGAGTATATGCTTTAAGTGAATACGCAGAAGGGTCCCATGTTGGAAGTGTGTTCTCTAGTGGGGGTGCTGAGTTCTGGTGGGACTTTTAAAGGAGGTGCTTTGGTCTCAGAACGGTGATTAGTTCTTGGCAAACTCTGAATTATTTTAGGAGTTGTTATATGACAACCTCTCTCCACCACTGGGTTTCCTGTCTTGCAAGTGGTCTCCCTCACAAGTAGCTCTCCTTTGGTGCCATCTGTCTGTGGGCTCTCAGCAGATGCCAGCTCCATGCCCTTGAACCTGCCGAACCTGTGAGCCAAAGGATCCACTTTTCTTTATAAGTTAGTAAGTTACCAGGCTTAAGAAACAGGACGTAGACTGTTGTATAAGGTAACACCTCATGTTCAAGCTTGCGGGGATGGGGTGAGGCAGAGCTGCCAGTTGATAGCAGATTAGTTAGGAAAGATGTTAAGGAGAGAGAAACTGAGAAGAAACTTCAAACACCGCTTCCCTCTTCAACATGGGCGCAAAGAAACAGCTCAGCAACTGTGCAGAGATGACATAGAGGAAATAGTAAAAGAAGAGATTTTCGTTTGTTGAGTGCTCTTTTGTATCTGATAGCTGGACCGCCTGCTGCTGTCACCTAGTGTGATGTGGATGGCATGCAGCCCAGCCGGAAAGAGTGTTACTGGCGTGCGAGAAGACCGGGGGTACTCCCAGCGAAAGCCAGGGAATGAGATCAGAGCTGTGTTAGAAAGACTGAAAGTTCAGAAAGATAATTGACATCTGGAAAATACAGAACCCAACATAAATTTCATGCAGGAGAAATGTTCTGAAATGAATCTAATCACACATTGTAGGACATGCCAGACTGTCTCACTTGACACAAACAGCAGAAAACAATTCCCTGAGATGAACGAGCAGCGCAGTAGGACCCCCATGCCCATGACGCTGGCACTTGCTTATCAAATCTGCTGCGGAATTGTGCAGCTTAACTGCGTTCATTAGAAAACGAGAACGTCTGTGAAACCGAACTAATCTTTCCATTCAAGGAAATGGTGGAACTAGACAAACAGAATTGATAAAGGTGAGAAAGTGAAGGTATTTCTTGAAAACTAGTGAGAGATTTAGACTCAGATTTCTGGCTTTTGTGACCATTTGGGGGAAGTTGATGGGTGTAAATGTTGTTAATGGCCCTTCTTTGTAGGATCCTTTGCCAGCCCCCCTGAAGTAAATTGTATTTGTAGTGTTTGTTTTAGCAGTCTCACCCTTCAGAATGTCTTATAGAAATGTTTACACAGGCTGCAAAGATGCAATCAGAGTGTTAATAGTAGTGTTATTTTTAATAGCAAAAAAATTCTGGCAATATAACTCTTCTTGTATCCTGTGACATCAATGTAGCTGTTAAAAAGAATGAATAGATGTGTGTGACGTGAATTGACAGGCAACTCAGTGCATTTTGTGTTTAGTAAATAGTAAAGCGAAAGTTGTATATATACTGTTGTAGTTATTATGTCTCTGCTTAAACATTTATTTTGCCTTTGGAGCTGAAGTGCTTACGTATTCCTAGTGTGTCTCAAGTGAGTGAATCCTGGGAGGCCTGAAGACCTGTTCCAAACCAACTTCTTGTAGGTTTCTGATACCAAATCAGTAATGGGGTTTATTTCCACAGAAGCAAATCCAGCTGCTTTTGCTCTAGCAGAAGGCAGATTGGAAATGAGTATCTGGCTTCAGCATAGAATCTGTTTGAGAATCATTTGAAACGTTGGATTACCTCAGATAAAGCTCCCCTTTTCTTTTCTTTTTGTTCAGGGCCTGGAAATTTACGCTGCAGGATTCTAGGACTAACACGGTAAGTTGCTCATGGCAGCCAGCAGTCAGGGAGACTGGAAGCTGGGGAAAAGGAACCAGGGAGACTGGCCTCTCAGCGCCTCCGCAGCCTTGACTGGGCAGGGCTGCTGGGCACTTTCTGCTGACAGGAAGCAAGCTGGGCTTTGCCACATGTCTTGGCAAGAGCCTTCCTCACACAGGCATGCTTGCTCTGGGGTTGTTTTTTAGATTTGTTTGTGTTTTTTCATGGCTTCGTAGTACTTCAGCTTCCATTGTGTTTACATTGAAAGCTCAGAGGAACTGTCACGTCCTTGTTGTGCCTAGGACCTCAGCCTTGTGGGGGCTGCAGATTTTGGGGTGTAATCCTGTTTTGGGTGCTGGAAGTCGCCATTACCCTAAGGCCTAGCAGTGCTGTCTTTGTGTCTGTCAGGGAGACAAGCAGCAATAGACTTCACAGTCCGTATTTGTGTTCTGCTGATGGCATTTTATTTTCTCTTTTGTCTCTGTGGAGTAATGGAGTTTATAGCCTGGTTGATGCCTCTGGGAGAAGGCAGGAGAAAGGCTTGCTGTCTAGATGCCAGTGTTTTCTTCTTCTGTTGGCCCCAGGTAGTTCTTCCTCTGAAGGAAGAAGTTCACTCTTCACTTCCACTGGCTTTATTTCTTTTTTTCAATGAAAGTTCTCTTTTTGGGTAAAGTTATTAATATTACTGACCCCTGTAGTTAGAGGTTAAGATCCCAAGGTGATTCTTTGGCTGGATTTTTTAAAAGGATCTAACAGAGTTTTCAGCTGGACAAAACTTAGAGGAGAGCTTCTAAAACATTTTTGTTTATATTTGAGAAGAACAATAGAGGAAGAAAGATGGAGAGAGATCTTCCATTCATTTCGTTCACTCCCCAAATACTGGTAACAACCAGGGCGGGCCCAGCCGCAGCTCGGAGCCTGAGCCCCATGTGGGGAGCAGGGACCTACATATTGGGGCTGTTAGCTGCTTTCAGGATGGGCGTAAGCAGGCATGGCCGAGACTTGAACCAGGCACTTCAGAGCGGGCTGTGAGTATTTTCCGTGGTGATTTACCCACTGAGACCAAGTCCTACTCCTGGAATTGTTCTTTTTTTTTTTAAAGAGCCAAATACAGAATGGATGTAGGAAGCTCTGTAAGTGCAATGTTTTTGTTTGTTAACTAAAGGACTGTTGAGAGCGAGGCAGTGTCTCCTGAAACCCTTTCAGTATCACAGTAGCCTCTGCGGGCCTGCACCGGTGGTCCGTTCTGGCTTGGTGCACCGGAGTGGGCCTGGGTGCTTCTACTGGACCAGGCGAGTTTCTCCTGCTGCTTGGAGCTGTAGCGTTTATGTCCTGTGCTTCTCAGTTTGCTGGATAAAAGGAGCGTGTGTGTAGTACCACTGCGTATGTAGGTGACCTGGCGGCACTCCGTGCTCACCCTGTCTTCCCTTTCCCTCCCCAGGCCTACGTGGGCTCAGCAGTCCTCTCCGATGAGATGGCCGTGGCTGCCTCCCCGCCTCCGTACACAGCCTATGCCGCTCCGATCCCCGAGGTAGGGGCAAGCCTGAGTGTGTGTGGGCAGCTTGGAGAGTCTGCGCTGACCCAGGCCAGTGGCAGAGATGTTAGAAGTGTGCTCTAAACATCCCCTTACCAACTTCTGCTTTCAGGAAATGAAACAACTGCTTTTCTTCTGTTTATCACATTTTATTTAATTTTTTAATTATTTTATTTTTATTGGAAAGGTAGATTTACAATAAGAAGAGACACAAATATCTTCTATTCACTGGCTCACTCCCTAAGTGGCCGCAGTAGTTGGGGACTGAGCCGATCAGAAATCTGAAGCCAGGGAATTCCGAGAGTCTCCCACACGGGTGCAGGGTCCCACTGCTTTCCCAGGCCACAGGCAGGGAGCTGTGGAGCAGACAGGACATGAACTGGCGCCCATATGGGATCCCAGCGCATGCAAGGGGAGGATCTAGGTGCTAGGCCCTACCACAGTTGCTCTGGGTAATGAGATTTTTATGGTTTATAGTTCAAGTTTATATGTAGTAAAGTTCTTGCATTCTTGTAATCATTTAGAAAAATGCTGTTTATATTTTGGGAGGGCCAAAACTCTAGAAAAAAATCCCATCATATACTTACAAGGTCTCTAGTTAGGGTTCCAGCCATCCAGTGCTACAAAGATCAGTCTCTTATGTGAGGCACACCTGCTTTTGTTCTTCCGATTTTAAAATAATCGTGTTAGTACAGTTCAGAAAGTTCATGGAAAGATGGAATCAAAAAATGTGTATTTTGAAAAATTCTTGAAATCTGTACACAGTTTCTCAATACAATTTAGCATGAATTTTTGAAAAACATATATTTATTTACTTGAGTTACATAGAGGCAGAGAGATCCTTTGTTTCCTGATGAACCCCCAAGATGGCTTCAGCGGCCAGCACTGGGCCAGGCCGATGCCTAGAGTGAGGCCCTGTGAGGTCTCCACAGTGCTGCTTGGGGCATCTTGCATTGCTTTCCAAAGGTGTTGGCGACTGTATCTGCTACAGCACAGGTGCCAGTCCCTACCATGAACTTTCTTGAGATTACCTTGTAGGCACTGATTTCAGGTTTTTAAGAAAAGATTTATATATTTGGAGAAAAGAAAAAACAAAAATGCAGGCAAACGGATACCTCCTTTCTGCTGGTTCACTTCCCATAAGGCCATTGCATTGGGACCGGGCCACCCCAAAGATAGGAGCCTGCCATTCCTTTCAGGTCTGCCATGATGTTTGCAGCTTGGCTCCTCTTCTGTCCACCCAGGTGGTCAGCAGGAAGTTGGATCAGAAACAGAATGGCTGGGACCTTTGCCGGCATTCCAGTGTGGGTTGCCAACATTGCAAGGAGTGACTTAACTGGCTATACCTCAATGCTGGCTCTTTAAATTATTTCTGCACCCATGCAAACCTAATTCTATTTTCCCTGAATGTTTTGAAGTTCACAAAGTTTGAAGTTATAAAGATGACATAAGACCTCATGTATTTTTACTTTACCTACTTTTCTGAGTTGTTACTTGTCCGGTAAAATCAAAACTGGGCGTTTGAAGCTGGTACAGTGTCTGTGTCTGCTCCTCTCGTCTCATCACGTGTATGTGTAGAGAGGTCTATGGTGCTGTCTCGTCTTTGTGATGCCTGTTTGGTGCTAACAAACTCTTTCATTTGCTCTTAATGTTAGTAGTTTGAGTGTTTCTGACTCTATGCTAGAGGTTTGACTAAACTTTTCAGAAAATCAGCTTTTTTATTCAATTCACTTTTTATTTTTTTTTTTTTAATGATTTGTTTATTGAGAGGCAGAGTTGGGAGGGGACTGGAATGTTTCATCTGCTGGTTCATTCCTCAAATGGCTGCAACAGTCGGGGCTGGACCGGTGTGGGCCAGGAGTCTGGAACTCCATCCAGATCTCACTGTACTCTGCAAAAGGACCATGGGGCTATTCCATCTTCCAGAACCAGAAGTCGTGTCTGCTACTTTCCTAGGGTAACAGGCTTCTGTCACATGCAGCTTGCTGCTCTTCCCTGAGCTGGATCACCTGTGATCATGCATACTTCCGGCCCATCTCTGGCAGTGCCAGAAAGCCCACTCACCTGCCTTGGTTCTAGTGTTCAAGCTCCTTGGTCTCCTTCTTGCCTGGCATTGCTGAAATTGGCTGTGGGTGCAGGGAGATGCAGGGGTATGGGAGAGGGGTTGCTCTGCTTCCCAGCTGGATCCCCTGGAGAAGACTGGTTTGGGGTTAGTCTTGTTACCACCTGGTCCAAGTGATCATTATACAGATGAATGAAGCAGGGCTGGGAACTTACTGAGGTCAGGTTTAACAGCGCAGCTCTCACGGGCCTATTCTTTTTCAGCAGGCCTACGGTTATGGTCCCTATGGTGGTGCCTACCCAGCAGGAACTCAACTCGTCTATGCTGCGAATGGCCAGGCATATGCTGTGCCCTACCAGTACCCATATGCAGGTAACACGCCAGCCTGTACCCCTTGTTTCTCATCCAGCTTGTACGGTGGCGAGGCTTGGAGGAGTGTGTATGTCTCAGTACAAAGTTAAGTGAGCTGTGTTTCCTTGTTAAAGACCTAAGTCACTCTGCTGCTGTGTTTGCTGGGAAGAGAAGCAAGTTTGAGTGCTAGTCAGTGACTAGACAGTACAGTTGTGAAGCAAAGAAAAGAATGAAAAGTACATTTCCACTTGTAACTTTTAGTCATGTAAATTAAATATTAATTTTTAGAGATTTGCTCTTTTAGAAATGGCACTGCCAAAATACTTTTTTCTCCTTACATGTTTTATTTTAGTAACATAAAGGTGTGTTTTAAAAATAAATAGCAAGCTGTGTTAATAGATTTAAAGTTTAATTCATTCATGAATTAATTTCTTAGAGATTATTTATTTGGAAGGCAGAGCCAAAGAGGAAGGGAGAGAGATGTTCATCTGCTGGTTCCCTTCCCAAACGGCCACAGGGGCCGGGATTGGGCCAGGCTGGGGCCAGGCTGAAGCCAGCAGCCTAGAACCCCACCCAGGTCTCCCATCTGGGGGGCAGAGGCCCAGACCCCTAGGCTGTCCTCCACTGCCTTCTCAGGCACGTTAGCAGGAAACTGGATCAGATGTAGAGCAGCCAGGACACAAACTTGAACTCTGATAGGGAATATTTGCATTGTAAGTGTTGGCTAGCGGACTATGCCTCAGTTTCTACCTCTAAAATTTAATTTAGAAATTGGTTTGTAGAAACACCAGGAAGCTGATTTGCTCTTGGACCTTCCCACCTCCTGCAGGACGTGTCTCCCGTGCTCTCCCCCGTTGTCACCCCAGTGAGCGTGGTGTGGAGGCAGGAGCCTGTAGCTTTGTTGGAGCTGTGTTCTCTGCAGCAGTGGGAACATTACCCTCAGCCAGTTCAGGATCTTGATCTGTGGGGGCAGCCCCAGGGCTGAGGAGTCCTGTGATGGGAGGGGTAGGGGGCGCCCACTTCATCCCCGTGCAACAGCTCTGCAGAGGCAGGTAGGCGGCCAGGATGCAGAAGTGCCGGTCTCTCTGAGACAGCGCAGTGGGCTCTTGCGTGGCCTTGCAGGCTGCTCCTCACAGGCCTCCTGCCTTCTCTTTCAGGGCTCTATGGGCAGCAGCCTGCCAACCAAGTCATCATTCGGGAGCGGTATCGAGACGACGACGGTGATCTGGCGCTGGGCATGCTGGCTGGGGCGGCCACAGGCATGGCCCTGGGGTCCCTCTTCTGGGTCTTCTAGGGTCCCCCGAGCCTGAGACCCTGTGCATAGCTTCTGACGACCCTGTGTGCAATAATATGATTTGCAGGGCTTTTCTGTTCATGACAGATTTTGTTTTAATAATGACATCAGTAGCTCTTTCGAAAGTAGTGAGTTGATAATTGTAAGTAATCCACAGAAGTCCCACAGAGGAGAATGGGCCGAGGAACCATGCTGGTTAGCTGGAGTGTGGACTTTGAGGCTGGCCAGCTTGTTCTGAGAGTTTCTGAATGCAACCCTGACTACCTTATTTGAACATAACTTGTCTTCAAAGGCACTTTCTCCTCACGGTTAAGTGTAGTGCTCCAAGGATTATTTTCATATTCTGTTAATAATCATAGACATCAGGGATGTGAGAGTGAGTGTGCCCAAGAAGCTGCAGCATCTTTTGTTTGAACTTTTCAGGATCAGAACAGACTTGGCTGCAGACCCCGAGAGCCCTGGGCTCGTAGCTGCCTGGGGTCTTCCCGGAGGCAGTGGGTATCATCCCCCGGGACCTGCCCTCTGGGGCTCTGCAGTCCCTGCTACACTCTGGCTCAGGATGAGGGGGCAGCCTCCTCCACTTTCCAAATGACACTTCTGGAATCTGCTTCATCCTAGAGCTTCTCACCCACGTATTCCTGTTTGGTTTTGATAGCAATCCTTAGAAAACACCCATATCAGGAGCTAGTTTCCGCCTTGTTGGAGAGTTAGAACTTAGTTTGTTTAAAAGTTGGAGAAGGCAGGATAGCAAGCGTGGAGGTGGATTTGATTTATTTGGAGACTGTTTTTAGCATCTGCTTTAGGTACATTAGCCTAAGCCCATTTGCAGCCTGTTTTTCTACCCGATGAGAAAGTCACGCAGAACATTGAGGCACATGCACGAGGGCGCAGTCAGGAGCATCCTGACATTGTGGCGTGTGGAAGGTGGCCCCTCTGTCCCACTCAAAGCCCATGCTGTGTGAAGGCGGGGATGGCTGTCCACTGCGTGCTGAGAAGCACCATGGTCAGGAGAGACTTGGGTTGTAGAAGGGAGGGACTTGCTCAAGGTACCACTAGAACTGGCCAGGGCCCAGCCTTGATGCTGCTCCCAGCCCACGTGTGGTAAGGGAAGTGTGAGATGTGTAATTTCCATCTCCCCAGTGTGTGAAGTCTTGGAAAACCCAGTCAGCCTACCTTTGTCTCAAGTACTCGTTTTTCCAATATTGTGCAATATGTGTTGCAACTACCTACTTATTTCATGCATTGCAGCTGTTAATCACTTGGTTTTCTGTCCCGCATACCTTCATCTATACACCTTCACACAGCACAGTGAGGTTTGCTGCCCCACACTCTGTAGAGTTTTGTTGTTAAAATACACTCCAGGTGGTGCAGATTCTGGGGTGTGTGTATGTGTACACACACAAGGGTGCACTTGCCCGCATCCGCGCCCTCTTGCTGCTCAGCCAGCTGTGTGCCTGAGGCCGACCAAAAGAGATTTCCAGGTGCAGTCAGATGCCCAGTGCACCTGGTGGTGACCACTGATCTGTTTTGCTAGTCCAGCTGGGGACTCAGTGACGTGGGAGCGTGTTTCTAGCTAAAAGCAAATCATGTATGTGTGTGTAGCTGTCACCTCTGGGTGGATATAGTTTGTGACCATACTGATGTTCCTTGTTTAAAATGCTGCTTTAACTTGAGATGTTGATTTTACATCCTGTGTCATACAAATGGCTTTGTTTTAGATTGTAATCATTAAAGCTGTGGCAGAATATTAAAACCAGTTTTTAATGTTGCATTGGGGTATTGATTTTGAACTTGAAGTTAACTTGGTAACCAGAACCTCCACATTGTTACAGTGTGAGCCCTGAAGTGCTCCGGAAGCAGCACTGTGTGCCCTGGCTGCTCTCTGGCTGAAGGGGAGACCTTGAAAAGCTTGAATGTGTGTGTGTGTGTCTGTCTCTGCCCATACTTACCTAGTTCTGTCGCTGGTGGGGCCAGCCTCCTTGGCAGCCATAGCTGAGCCTGGAAGTTTACTGTTCCCTGTGTCTTGATTCTGGCATGCAGTACATTCTGGGCATCAGGATATGCCCTGGTGGTTCGTTTCCTTGGCTCCTGGTCATTTGACAGACTCAGTTTGTCAGACAGTGTCCTTTGTTCAGGCACGGTGCTCGGGCAGTCCTAAACCGAGCAGTGAGTGAGTGGGAAGGAAACTGACTGCTCACATTTGAGTCTTTTAGTTCCTTGAGTTAACTACAGAGTCTAGACAGGACTGAGAAGAGGAAGATCTGTGGTTCACACCTCCTGTTGTCATTTGTGAAAAGGACTACACTCTTGTCTCCTTTAGGCCACTTTTAGACTGAAGGTGCTCATCTGGATCACAGGAAGTTCCTGTGGTTGAGAGAAATGATCCGAGTTCACCTTCTGTAGCAAGTTTTCCCTTCCCGTGTGTGTGTGTGTGTGTGTGTGTGTGTGTGGTCACGGGCATGGAGTGCAGTTCTGTTCTCCCAATGTGTCATCTTTGCTTCCCAGGGTCTAATGCTCTGTTGTGTCTTACAGGACCCAGCTTTCCCCTTGTATATTGCAAAGTGTATATTTATAAGTGAAAATGTTACAATATTAAACAATCATTAACCCTACAGCATGTTTTATTATGACTTTGTTTAGTGGGTGGAAGAGGTAATGATTTTATTTGAAGATAGGATTAGAGATTGATCTGTCTTTTGCTGGTTCACTCCCCACGTGTCCTCAATAGCTAGGGTAAGCCGGGCTGAAGCCAGGAGCCTGGAGTGCTGGGGTCCTAGTCCTTAGGCTGTCATCCACTGCTTTCCCAGTGCCTTAGTAGGGAGCTGGGTCGGAAGTGAAGTGGTTGGAAGTTGAACAAGCTCTCCTATGAACACCAGCATCTTGGCAGCTTATCCTGTACCACAATGCCAGCCTCATTGTGACTTATTGAAGAATTATTTTATAGTAACACAGCTTGGGTTTTAAGTGTTTGCTTTTCCCTGTTGAATGCCATTTACTGAGGTGTGGGTGTTGTCCAAGTTAGACTGGTGAGGCCAAGGCTCACAAGTGAGCCTTCTCAGGAGACACACGTAGTAAGTGAAGTTTGTATCTGTATCTTATTAAAATGCATTAATTCCCCCACCCATCCTGTGTGCATAGGAGAATGGTTTCTGTGGTCACACTTGGAGAATGGCTAAGCTGGGAGGTCTTGGCCTAGCTGGGGAACGGCCTGGGCAGACACCCTGGCGCCACAGTGCTGGTCTTTGGCTGGGGGTGGCAGGGGCCCAAGTACTTATGCCATCTTCTGCTGCTTACTTGCCAAGTGCATTACTTGGGAGCTAAATTGGAAGTAGAACAGAACTCAAAATTGTTGCCCAGTAGGATACCAGTGTCAAAGGCAATGCCTTTGCCCTCTGTGCCACAATACTGGCCCAACATGTCCTATAGTTTTTGATCCCTCCCAGGTTTCTGTGGGTAGCTTTCCTGGCTGATCCATGTGCTATATGTAGAGTTAGGTTCAGTGGGGATTCCCACACTGGGAATTCCGCTGTGTGTGGAGACTGTACCTTCTTTCTTCCTGGGCTGACCCGTCTGCTGCCTCCACCTGCTAGGATTGGTTTGATTTTTAGTTCTTTTTTTTTTTGTTTTAAGGCTATATGTAGCTTAAAAATGTGAAAAACAAACCAACAAAAAACCCAAGAATAGAATTTATATTAAGTAAAATATATTTTACTTAATATTTATATTAAGTATAAATTAAGAATTTATATTAAGTAAAATATATTAAGTAAAATATATGCATGAGTTTGTTTATACACATGTAAGCTAGTGTAAAGATAACATTCCCTGCCTTTTTACACAAGTAGTGTACTGAGATCATGCTGTGGTCTCAGCCCCTGTTTATGTGACTAAAGAGCTTTTAAAACATACCCTAATGGGGCCCGGCGCGGTGGCGCAAGTGGTTAAAGGTCCTCGCCTTGCACCCCCGGGATCCCATATGGGCGCCGGTTCTAATCCCGGCAGCCCCGCTTCCCTTCCAGCTCCCTGCTTGTGGCCTGGGAAAGCAGTCGAGGACGGCCCAAAGCTTTGGGAACCTGCACCCGCGTGGGAGACCCGGAAGAGGCTCCTGGCTTCGGACCGGCATAGTATCGGCCCGTTGCGCTCACTTGGGGAGTGAATCATCGGACGGAAGATCTTCCTCTCTGTCTCTCCTCTCTGTATATCCGCCTTTCCAATGAAAAAATAATAAAAATAAATCTTTAAAACATACCCTAATGTTAATACCATAAGGTGTAAAATGGTGTTAAGCTTTAAAAAATGATGAGCCCGGTGAATGTTTAGCCTAGAGGTCAAGGTGCTAATGAAGGGGCTAGCATTGTGGTGCAGCAATTTAAGCTCCCCTGCATCTCATAGGAGCACTGGTTCAAGTCCTGGCCACTCCGGCTACTCCACTCATAGTGACGCTCCCTGCTAATGTGTATGGGAAAGCAACAAAAAAGGGTTCAAAGTGCATGGGGCTTGACACCTGTGTGGGAGACCTGAAGAAGCTCCTGGCTCTGGCCATTTGTGGAGTGAAACATGGATGGAAGATCTCTCTCGCTTTCGCTCTGTCCAGCTCTGCCTTTCAAATGATTTTTATTTTTAATTTTCTTTCTTACATTGTTTACGTAGTTGAGGCCCACTTGGGCCTCTTATTAAGGTGGGGAGGTACAGGCATGGAGGAGGGAAGGTGGGTGTTTTTGTTTTTTTTCTCGTGTCCATAAGGAAGGAAGGGAAGATGCTGCTGGGGACGGAGAACAGTCCATTGGTAACACCCTAGAGACGCTGAGGTGGAAGAGTGTTCAGAGGGTGTTAGTTGAATGGTTTCAGTAGCCTTTAGATGTTGACTTCATTGCTCCAGGATTAAGAAAATTTTCCTAAGGTCTGTTGGTTCATGAAGTCCACCTTAGTGTGTCTACAAATCCAGGAAGATGCCGCAAAGCTTGGCCTGGAATATTGTCTTACATGTCTGCTTTCCATCCTGTGGCGAGGCAGTTGATGTCCCCTGCTGGCCTAGATGAGCTGGCTGTCATATCCGCTGTGTGCATCTGGACGTGTTGTCCACCAAGCAGGCATCAGCAGCTGATGTGGCCCAGTTCTGATGCAAGCACTCCTAGGTCAGGCCACACATTCTGTGCTTTTTTTCCCTTTGGCCAGGGTCTGAGTCCAGCATTCCACTTGGGGAGTACCCCAAGAAACGTCGAAGTTGACTCTTGGTGCACCAGGCAGTGCAGGCTCAGGTTTGGTTTTGTCATCTGCACCAGCCAATGTACATACCCATGGGTGCAGCAGCCTCATCAGCTCCAGCTCAGCCCCATATCTCATGTGAACTGACAGATGCTATAGCCCAACCAGTGCGGCGGCCTAGTCGGGACAAACCCCAGTATCCTCTACAAGCTCCGATTTTTGGCCCTTGCCAGCCTCTGCTGCAGCCTAGTCTGGCCCAGTCTACATCCTGTCTAGTTCTTGTACACAGTTGTGGGTGCTGCAGCTTAACTCAGGCTGCCTCCCAGAACCAGCCCACACATAAGTCAATAAGTGGCACTTCCTTGTCCAGTCTGGCCTGCACCCTGGTTCTTGGTGCTTACTAGCAGTAGATACAGCCTGACAGGTGAGTGCCCATAGTTCCTCTGCCAGGCTTGCTCCCAGCCCCAGATCTTGTGCCTGCTGTGAGTACTATGTCCAGCCTGATATGACTTGCACCCAGTTATGGCACATACCAGCTGGTGCTACAGCCTAGTCAGGCTGGCCCACACCCATTCTGGCTGTCACACCAGTGGGTGTGGCACCCTAGCCCAGTCTGGCCCACCTCCGATCCAGCCCAAATGCTGGCTGGTGGGTGCTGCAACCCTGCCCAGACCAGCCTGCCTCCATTCCCAGCTCTCATACTCAGCTGTGGAAGCAGCAACCTAGTAGGGGAGTCTCAGAGGCTCTTCTATTACAGCAGGTGCTGCGACCCAGTCTGAGATGGCCCACCCCAGTCTTGGCATTCATCAGCAAGGTGCTGGTACCTGGTTCTCCCTGGGCTATCCCCAGTCTAGCTCTTGCTGGAGGGTGTAGAAGCATAGCCCAGCTTGGTCTATGTGATTTGGTCCTCATGTGATTTGGCAGATGATGTGGTCCAACCTGCCCTGGCCTGCACCCTGTCCTGGCTCTCTGTGGACTGACCCTGCTCAGCCTGCCCCTACACCCGATTCATATGTACATTGATGGGTGTTTCAGCCCAGCCTGCCTGGTCTAACTGGCTCCCAGCCAAAGCTTTTGGCGTTCACTAGTGTGACCTATGGTCTAACAGGGAAGTTCACTGTTGCATGAACCATCAGCTGCTAATATCCAGGCTAACATGGCAGACCCCCCAGTCCTGGCACTCACCAGCAGGTACTCCTGATGAGCCTATACCCATTGTGGCTCTCATTGATGGGTGCTGCAGCCTTGGCCCTTGGCCCTTACAGCTCAGCTATGGGAGGAGGAGCCCAGCAGAGGAGTCCCCACAGTTTTGCTACCAGACCTGTTACCAGCCCGGGGTCTTGGATTGCAGGTGGATGATTTGACCCATTCTGGCATCACCCACCCACAATGTCAACACATTCAAATCTGGGTGCACTCACTGACCTGCAAAAGGCCTGTCACTGAACAGGTGGTGGGAGAAAAGAGGTATGTATGTATTTACTTAATAGATTTATTTATTTTTATTGGAAAGGAAGATCAGATTTATGGAGAGGAGAGACAGAGAGGGAGATACCTTTTTTTT